CAAAGTCACAGGAGCGTTTGATTATGTTTGTCCCGCTACTCCCTAAAAGACCTCTTCCTATTCCCCGACTCGTCTTCCTCCCTCCGTATAAAATTGCTGACTGCAGCTTGTACCCCCCCCTCCCCCACACCTCACTGAATCAAAGTGCTTGACCGCTGGAAGGGAAATTACAGATGCTGGGCTCCGTAGCCTGCCGATGAGCTGGCTAGAATGTAAGGCTTCTTTTTTCCCTCTCTGCAAAAACCTCAACCCAGCTTCTCCGAGGACTGACTAATTTCTCAGCGTCGTAAATAAAGCCGACTGTTGTGTCTGCCGCTGAGCTATTTTGTTTTTGTTAAAGGGCCAGTGTCAACGAGTGCAAACCATTAGTCTGCCTTTATCTCTGCCAGAAGACGACCAGACTTGCGTAAATGGGCCCCCTTTCTTTTTTTCCCCCAAGGAGTCACTCTTGTACACTTCATCCATACAAATGTAATTACACGTTGGACTGTTAAGCCCTCCCGTCAAAGTCAGTGGAAGTAGTTTTTTTTCTGCAGCGTTTCAACATGTTTGTGCGTCAGCGTTTGCCAGTAAGGTGATTTTGTTCAGGTTTAAAAACACTGCTCCGTGTCATGGCTTGGTGGATATTCCCCGCCCAGAATGAGAGTGTCGCTGAGGGCACGGTCGACAAAAAGAACCTCTCACTCGCTTTCATCATCGTCCCATATCGGACTGAGGGTGTTCTCTTCAGCGTCTGGTGCCAGGAACGTGAGAGAGTCGCGGGCAGCGAGTCAGTGTGAGCTGCTGGGACTGGAATGCCGGGCCGGGGATGGCTGTGTTTGTACTTGTCACTCAATGCCCTGCCAGCGGTGGGGAGAGCTGCAGAAGCACTTAGTTGCCCCCCCCCCCCCTGTCATACAGGCATTCGATTTTTTTTGAGGCCTCATTTGCCGCCTTGCTGCTTCTGTAAACATTTCCGGGTGCCAAAACCCAGTCGGACGCATTGATAAACACATGTGCTGGGAAACATTGAGAGAAAGGCATGGACAATGAACCGTGTTTTGCGGGAGTTAAAAGGGCAAGTCCGGTTTATTTGAACAGGGCTCTTATTTTTGTAGTTTTGGGCCATCGTTTCTGTCAGTTATGCGGCGCTTATCTCAAAGTAATTACTTGGATTGGTGAACATGGCAACAGTGAAGTCTTACGGGCCAAGAAAACACAATCATAGAGGTTGTAAACAAGCCGAACGTTACATTAGCTCGGGTGCCGATAACGGTATTGGTCACATTAAATCGTTTTCTGTTCGTTTCTGTCAATGTTAACAATGTATAAAGCTACTGCCACTCAAAATTAATTTTGATACGAAGGTGGTATTTGGCCTCTACTGTTGAAAATGGCATTTATATTCAGCTACCATTTGTGTCGACCTGCCCACATTTAGCTACTGGGCTTCTAGCTAAATGTGGTAAGAAGCATCTCTTGGTGTGAGAGTGATGTTTCTGTAACTGGTCCATGACCTTGATTAAAACTTAAAAGGTAAATTTAGGTATTTTGACGTAGGCTTGTTATTAGAAGTGCCTAGCAACACTATGGAAAGGACCCGACAGAGGAATAAAACTTTTTTTGGGCTTGATCCGGTCTGTTTGACATGTGGCAAAACCAAGCACATTTATTGGACGTACATTGACGTTGAGGAGTTCCCCCGAGCGATGACATTGCAGAACGTCTTGTCTGCAGTGTTCACCCTCAACGCTGGACAAATTTCAAAACATTTGTCCCCATTAGCTACTCTATGAACACCAAAACATGGGGAAGTAGGTTGAAAAATACCAAAGTTACCCTTTAATTAAAAAACGTCAAGCTTGACGCCATACAGTTTGTTTCTAGAACAAGATTTTGACATTTGACACATTCTCTCAGGAGGGTTTGTTTTGAAACGGTGAATGTCAAATACTGTTGAACATGTAACAAAAACATGTTTGATAAAAGGAGATAAAAAGAACTACATACTACCAACAAAAGCCTTTAGCAGCTGGAGTTAAAACAAATAACACTGTGGAAAAACTCTGCTGTTCCACAGTTGATGAATGATTCATTCGTTTTAATGCAGATGTATGATGTTTACAGCTGTTACATTTGGAGAAAAGCTGCACGGTAACTTCAGTCTTTGGATGCTCTTGTCTGCCGGAGTGGCGGTGGTCGCGTTGAGAGATAGCACAGCGGCCACCCAGCAGATGAGCTGTCAGAAACCCAACGGCAAACAGACACGCCGGCTTATCAGAATGTTTAAACAGCCCCAGCATGCCGTTCTTTAACCTGCGGGAAATAGCCCTCCAGTGTCATCACCAACATCCACGGGGGGGGGGGGGTGTTTACACTGCGCATCAGATACGCGGCTTCCCTCGCCGCCCGTCAAGATGCCATCATTCATCAGACGGGAAACATGCGGCAAAAAGTCGCAAAAATGTGACGAGTAAGCACTCTGTGTGCGCGTTTCTCCCGGTCAGCATTCGAGACCCGCTTGCTCACAGAGCCTCCTTCGCAGCTCTGTTTTCAATTACCGGCTCAGGAAAAAGGTAAAGAAAGATTAGAGATAAAATCATGTCTTGAAAGGGAAAAAAAGAAAAGAAAAAAGGTCTTGTTCCACGAGGCCGTGGCAGTGCGATAAATGGAGAATGACAGGGCTTTCATGTAGCTGAAACGGGGATACCCTGAGCCCCGGCCTCCTCTTCACGCCGCACTGGAAGTGGTACGACAAGAAAAGAATTCAGATCCCTTTATCCCTCTTATTCCGGAACCTGTCACAGGAGGCGTTGGTCGATATATTTCCCTCGGGGGGGGGGG